TATATCTCTTTTTAAAGGCATTGCTCTAGGGTTTACAATATATGCCTTAAATTTATCAACATCTACTTTCAAATAATACTATTCCACTTCACATTAACATATAGTGTAAGAATTTTTCAATAGTATATTTCCATTTTCTATTCAAATCCTTTGTGTCCTTGTTATGCATTTAAATTCTACATAGGTTATAAATGCCAAAAATACAGTGCTGTGTTTTGCTCTAAGCAATTATCTCTTACAGAGATTTTAAAACTAAAATAAATATTTTAAAATTAAAATAAATATTTTCTATTTTACCCATGTATTTACCATATCCAAAACTCTTCATTTTGTGTTGACACAAATTTCCATCTGGTATCATTGTCCTTCTGCCTGAAGAGCTTCCTTTAACATCTTTTAGACTTGCAATAAATTTTTTCAACTTTTGTTTACCTGAAAAATGTCTTTATTGTGCTTCCACTTTTAAAAGGAAATTTTATTGGGCTTAATGTTCTATGTTGACAGTTGTGGTTATTTTTTCTTTTTTCCAGTTTAAAGAAGTTGTTCCATTTTCTTCTAATTTGCTATTTTCAGACAAAAAGTTGGTTGTCATTCTTTGTTTCTTTTTATATAAAGTGTATATTTTTTCCCTCTGGCAACTTTGAAGATTTTTATCATCATTACTGGTTTTTAGTAAGTTGATTATGTTATGCCTTGATGTTATTTTCTTTGTTTCTTCTGCTTAGGATTCACAGAACTTCTTGGGTCTGTGGGTTTATTATTTTCATCAAATTTGGAAACATTTTGGCCATTTTTCTTTAAATATTTTTATGTTCCTCCCTCTTCTCCTACTAGAACTTTAATTACCCAACTATTAGACTGATATTATTCCACAGCTCACCGAGGTTCTGAGTTTGTTTTGTTTTGTTAGTATTTTTGTCTCTGTGCTTCATTTTGGATTGCTTTTATTGCTTTTCTCTTTGAGTTCACTAGCATTTTCTTCTGCAATTTCTAATCTGTTGTTAATCCCATCAGTGCATTTTTCCATTTTATATATTATACTTTTTATCTCTAGAAGTTTCATTTTTCCATTATCTGTGTTTTCTATTTCTCTCCTCCTTGTGTTAATGTTTTTCTCTACATTCTTGGGAATATGAAACATAGTTATAATAGTTGTTTTAACTTCCGTGTCTGCTCTTTCATCAGCTTTCTCATTTTTGGATCTGTTTCTATTGATTGATTTTTCCTTATTATGGGTCATATTTTCCTGCTTCATTGTATACCTGGTAATTTATGATTGGCATAACTTTTACATTGCTAATTCTTTGTGTTGGGTGCTGCATTTTGTTATATTCCTCTCAATAGTGGTGTACTTCATTTTGGCATACAATTAAGTTACTTGGAATAAGCTTGATTCATTCCAAGCTTGCTTTTAAGCTTTTCTTGGGACAATTCTAGATAGAGCAATTAATTAATCCAGTTTGCCTAGAACTAAGGAGGTTCCCAAGACATGGGGTTTTCGGTTTAAAAGTAAGATGGAAGAGTTTCTGATAAGTGGAACTTTTAGTTTTAAAACTGGGAAAGGCCAAAGCAAATCAGGACAAGTTAGTCATCCTAGATCCAGAGCATGCTTTAGTCCAGGGATAATTTATTCCCACTACTAAATTTTGAGTGCCCTACTCTTATTATAAGATCTTTACACTCTAGTTGGTAAGAACATGAACTATTCTGTTTAGATTAGTACTCATCCAAAGATTTACAGGTATCCCTGGGGGTTGGTTGTTTGTTTCTGTGTAGCTGCATCTTTTCCCATACTCTATTGCAAATTTTAGCCACCATGGCTCCCTGAACCTCAGTCTCTGTATCCTCAACCCAGTGAAACTGATGAGCTCTGTTTGCATCCTTCCACATGGCTCTGCTGCCCGAAAACTGCCTTCAGGCAGTAAGCTAGGGTGATCACAGGGATAATTTTGTTTGCTTCCTTTTTGCAGGCATCACAGTCCTGAAATTCCTGTTGCCCAATGTCTGAAAACTGATACTTAATATAGTTTGTCTGGTTTTCTTGTCATTTAGGATGAGTGTGTGAATATCATTTTTAGTATTTCCTTGCGACCATAAGCAGAAGTCCTTATTCTACATTTTATACTTCAGTATTTTTTAAAATATATACATTATATATATACAATATATACAATATATACAATACTTAAAGAGGTTGGCCTTTTCCTGGTTACACCGTTTTTGCTGTTTTCAGTTTATTCATACTAAGACAATGAAATGCTTGAAAATAAAAATAGCAGCTATTTACAGAGGCCCCCTCTTACGTCTCAGCCCCATGCTTCCTATACATTATCTTGAATCTTCACAACAACTTTTAAAGGTAGATATTATTGATAGCATTATCTCCACTTTAGAGATGTTAAAACTGGGATTCAAAACATTTAGTAACTTGACTAAACCCATATCATTTTGAGCAGCTTATATTTGAATGTTGTCTCTCTGAGTACTCATTAATTTATACCTCAATGCCTAATGTGTGGTATTTAAAAAGATATCACATCAAAAACAGTTGAGACCAAAATAATTTTGTGGTCCCAAGGTTAACTTATGCATAAATGTAAGTAATTCTGATAATAGTGTTTTATGATATAGGTGAATAGCTAATTTATTACAGAGAGAGAGAGGATATGTGCGCATATTTATATGTGCTTGTGATGTGCTTGGTGAAGTGGATAAAGGAGCTTCATCTGACCACATTGACCTTCTTTGAGCCCTGATGACTTTGCATGGAATACTGAAATTGCGTTCAATTCCCAAAGTTATTGTATTTATTTCCTGGGCTGCCATAACAAATTACCATAAACGTAATGGCTTAAAACAACAATTTATTCTCTCACAGTTCTGGGGGCCAGATATCTTAAATTGAGGCTTTAGCAGGGCTGCACCCCCTTGGGAGTTTCTAGGGAGGAATGCTTCCTTGACTACTTTAGCTTCTGGAGACTCCTGGCACTTTCTTGTGTTAGTGACTTTCTTGGCTCATGGCTTCGTAATTCCAATCTCCGCCGCCATCTTCACATGGCCTTCTTTTCCAGTCTTTCTGTTTCCCTTTCTCCTCTCTTCTAAGGAATTGATCGTTGCATTTAGGGGTCACTCTAGCCCAGGATAATCTCATGTCAACCAACATCCTTAACTTAATTGTATCTGAAAAGACCCTATTTTCCATTTACAAGTATCAGGGGTTAGGACTTGAACATGTCTTTTTGGGATACAATTTGATCCACTACAGTTTCTATGGGAGCTCTAGGTTCTTCCAAAGTAGCTTTTCTTTAATATTCTACCAGGAGGGCCATAAAACTATCTTGAAGAAGTGGTTTGGATACCTCTGTGTTCATTTCCATGGTTGTTGAAGTTTTTAGAAAGTTAAATAGCGAAGAGTGCCCTTTGTCTTTGGTATCCTAACTCTCTATGCCCAATCCAACACAGGCTTGCTGCCCTGCAACCCCGGCATTTAACTGCTGTAAGTTTTCATAAACTATGACTAAGAAATAGCTCTAGACACCTAGATCCCAACAAGACACACCTCTAACTTGTATATCCGAGCCTGGGTGTGTCCTCCCTCCAGGTATCTCTCTTTCCATTGGGACAGCAAGACAGCCCCTAGGTCTTTGCCACCTTTGAGTTGCAGATTCTACCTTCCAAGATACCCTTTCGCTCCCTTTCTGCACTTAACTGGTGACCAGCTATCCTGTTTTGCAACTTTCTTCTAAATTCTTTTTCTCTGCACACACAAGCAACAACTTTGCTTCTTAATTCTTCTTTGTGATCTTGCCAATTAAGGATCTTGAACATGATGGGACTGAATTTTTAAGACATTAGACTTAATAACTCGGTCATTACCACTATTTACTAACCTGGACTCATTAACAGTGATCTTTTCTTTTCACTTTGCCACGGCATAATGAGGTTATTAATTAGAGCAAGAGACATAAGTACTCCGGTACTTACGCTTTAATGCCATCTGGGGAGATGGCTAGATCTTTGGTCGTAATTCTTGTTAAATGACTCCAAGGGGATACATTCAAATCACCATGAAATGATATTTCCCTTCCATCTAGACTTATTTTCCTCTTTAAATGGGTTATTTTTAGGCCCCTAAACTTCCCGGTTATAATCCACCGAATGCATCATTCAGCTGAATGGTGGAGGCGGTGGATTGCACCAGCTAGAAGCACAGGCCCTAGAGCGGCACGGCCTGGGTTTGAATACAGGTTCCGCCGTGTGACGCTGTGCAAGTTATCTGATCTCTCACTGCCTCCGTTTTCTCATCTGGATAAGCGTGGGGATTAAATGATTCATGCATGCAAATGCTTAGGCCAGTACCTGGCACACGTGCTTTGTATATGTGAGCGGCTATGTTTATTCATTAAATCCGAAGAAATCACTTTTGGCATCTGCTGAGTGTAAGGCAAAGTTTGGTGCTATGCACTTAAGATGATGGTGTTACAGGGTGACTTGTCACCCCCCCACACACACACACACAATTCATATTCAGAGCGCCTCAGAATGTGGAGAGATAACTAAGTTAAAGTGAGGTCATCAAGGTAAGGGCAGCCTTATATGGCTGCTGTCCTTGTGTGCAGGGGAACTTTGGGTACCAAAGTACGCTTAGAAGGAAGACAATGAGAAGAGACGCAGGGAGCTGATGATCTGTAAGCCAAGGAGAGAGTCTGGAACAGAGCTTCCCTCACAAAACTCAGATGGAACCAAGCTTACCAGGACCTCGATTTGGGACTTCTAGCCTCCAGGACTGCAGAGAATGAATTTCTGCTGTTCAAGCCAGCCAGGGGTGGTACTTTGTCCCAGCAGCCCTAGGGAACTAGTACAGACGGTAACATGACCAACTTCCTACGTGTGGGGGGAGTTCTAAGCGTGTATCTGGCACACGCAAGTACCCAATAACTGTCGGCAGTTGTTGGCACCATCAGTATTCGATGAACCGTTTTCCATTTTGTTTCCCTCAGGCCGAGTTCTCAGAGCTGAACCTTGCCGCCTACGTGACCGGGGGCTGTATGGTGGACATGCAGGTCGTGAGGAATGGGACCAAGGTGGTGAGGTAAGCGGGGCCGAGGCGCAGGTGCGCTCGGGGAGCCTCACACGGCCCACCCCTCTGTCCACCGCCTGTGACTCAACTCCTGCGCCCGCCGTGTGCTTCCACATATATAATACCTGCTTCCCAAGAGTTCCGGGTGTCGTTGCCATAGAAATGACTAATGGCACAAATAATATGGAGCAGCAACCGTGATGTCCTGGGATGAGCCCTGGGCTTGGAGAGGAAAGCCTTGGGTTCCATGTCTGGCTCTGTGGCTCTACTCCGGCACGTTATTTAGTCTCCGTGTTTCCCATCCGCAGCGAGATGGTAGCAACACTGCAGCCAGAGGCTGCTGCGGTTTGCAGACGCTCACGGATGTGAGAGCACCCTGCTAACTGATGCATTGCACGCATGTAAGGGTTTACTAGGATGAACAAAATCCTGCTTCCGGCAACATGCAGCTAAGTGTTCATAGAATCCCCTCCAAGCATTAATACATCAGACCTAAAAATTCTAGCTATAATATTTTCAAAAAGTTTGTTTATGATGTATGTTTGCTGGACTGGAGAGCAAGTGAGGGGATTCTCCAAATGCCAGAAGTGATAGGAATGTATAAACCCACCCAAGAGATAAGTATGTGTATCACTACATTTCTGTCTAGCTGAGTACCTAGAGAATTGTGCACAGTAGGCTTGTGAGGCTTTCAAAAGGGAAGAGATAGGATTCAGATTTGGGGAAGTAGGGAAAATGGGAAAAACATTGAGAAAAATGTGGCATTTGTTCCGGGGCTTGTCCGATGGTAGAATGTGGGCACTCTTGGACTGCAGACACAGGATGCAAAATGCTAAGAGCAGGAAACAGCCTGTACGAATGAAGAGAGTTATGACAATTCAACTAATTCAGCCATCATTGCTGAGTGCCTGGCCAAGAAACACATTATTACGTGGTTTCCTATTTCCAACCATGGTGGGCTCATCCTTGGGACCAACTTTTCCACTGAAAACTACTTAAAAACTGACCTTAAGTAATTATAATTGTCAAAAGCCTTCAAAGAGTTGGCATGACAGTAAAGAATTACCAGGAAGAGAGGGATGAGAAGCAGAAACCCAGAGAGAGAAATGGGTACAGAAGCCACCTGTATCCTGAGCGGATTTGCTGGGTCAGCCAAATTTGAACAGCCTCTCTCAAGCAGTTTTGACAGCCTTGTGGGGACAAGGGAAACAGAAGTCAACACCAGGCCACTCAGAATAGGGAGGGTAATGGTGAACCTTCCCTATAATCTGAGCTCCCAAAGGACTACACCTTTAAGTACATGAATTAAAAGTAGGTGAGCCCTCATGCGTAATTTGCCCTTGAATTGAAGTTTGAATAACCTAGGCCTTTCAGGGAACCTCAAGCGCTGAACTTGATTACTGGTGCTGCCACACAGGCCAGAAATAAAAGCAAATCCTATGTAGAGGAAGGCTCTCTCTTCCTAGGCTTCAAATAATTCTTCTAATAATTTTTTACATAATAGCTAGCACGTAGTCAAAGATAAGCAGGCATACACATTATGAACTAGAAGAAGCAGGAACAATAGACAATAGAAATAGAACCTCAGAGCTATCAGATATTGGAATTATTAGACAGATTATTTTTTAAAAAACTATACATATCAGGTTAAAAAATCAGGTTTGAATATACCTACAGAGAACAGGAAACTATAAAAAATGACATAAACATTGAAAAACAACTTCTAGAAATGAAAACTACAATAACCAAAATTATTGGATGTGTTGTTTAACAGCATATTAGACACAGCTGAAAAAGTATTAAGGAAGTAAAAGGTAGAACTGAAGAAATTATCCCAATAAAGCATAGAAAGAAAAAAATTAGAAATTCAGAAGAGATGGTTAGATCCTGGGAGAAGGTCTAACATCTATTTTATCAGAGTCTTAAAAAGAGAGATAAAAGAGATTATACAAGAGACAATATTTAAATAAATGACTTTTTTTTTTTTTTTTTTTTTTTTGAGACAGAGTCTCGCTTTGTTGCCCAGGCTAGAGTGAGTGCCGTGGCGTCAGCCTAGCTCACAGCAACCTCAAACTCCTGGGCTCAAGCAATCCTGCTGCCTCAGCCTCCCAAGTAGCTGGGACTACAGGCATGCGCCACCATGCTCGGCTAATTTTTTCTATATATATATTAGTTGGTCAATTAATTTCTTTCTATTTATGGTAGAGACAGGGTCTTGCTCTTGCTGAGGCTGGTTTCGAACTCCTGACCTTGAGCAATCCACCCGCCTCGGCCTCCCAGAGTGCTAGGATTACAGGCGTGAGCCACCTCGCCCGGCCGAAATAAATGACTCTTTCAGAAAAATACCAAACCACCAAAAACAGAAGTGCAACAACTTTCAAGTAGAATTATAAAAATAATTGTACACCAAAGACACAATAGTGGAACTTTAGAAAGATGAAGAAAAATATCTTAAAAGTATACTTAAAAGGGTAAAGATGGTAAATTATATGTATATTTTGCCTAAATAGACAAAAGTTTAAAAAATTAGGAAAAAAAATTATAGACAGTCCCTGATTTATAATGGTTTGACTTAGATTTTTTGACTTTACAATAATTCAAAAGCAAGACACAGTCAGTGGGACATCCATAAATTACATGAGATATTCAACACTTTATTATAAAATAGGTTTTGTGTTAGACAATTTTGCCCAACTGTAGGCTAATGTAAATGTTCTGACCATATTTAAGGTAGGCTAGGCTAAGGTATGATGTTCAGTAGTGTAGATGATTAAAAACATTTTTGACTTATGATATTTTCAACTTACAGTAGGTTTATAGGGACACGGCCCTATCATAAGTTGAGGAGCATTTGTACTTTTATTGGGGTAACAGACTGACAGCTTCCTGAGAGCAGTGGTAGAAGAACATCTTCTTTGTGCTGAAGGAAATTATTGCCAACCTATAATTCTGTTCTCAGGCAAACATCTCTTATAAATAATGGCAAAATAAAAAACATTACCAGACAAAGACAAGACCCTCACTAACGGAAACTGTAAAGTATATATACTTTAAGCAAAAAGAAAATGATCCTGGCCAGCCGTGGTGGCTCACGCCTGTAATCCTAGCACTCTGGGAGGCCGAGGCGGGAGGATCCCTCGAGGTCAGGAGTTTGAAAGCAGCCTGAGCGAGAGCGAGACCCTGTCTCTACTAAACATAGAAAGAAATTAATTGGAAAACTAAAAATATATGGAAAAAATTAGCCGGGCATGGTGGTGCATGCCTGCAGTCCCAGCTACTTGGGAGGCTGAGGCAGGAGGATCGCTTGAGCCCAGGAGTTTGAGGTTGCTGTGAGCTATGCCGACGCCATGGCACTCTAGCCCGGGCAACAGAGTGAGACTCTGTCTCAAAAAAAAAAAAAAAAAAGAAAATGATCCCATATTAACATAGAGCTGCAAGAAGATATGAAGAGCCAAGAAGTTGGTAAATGTTAATAAGTATCATTCAAAGACAATAAAATAATGTCTTACAGATTAAAAATAAATGTGAAGGACTAAAATACATAACATTAGGTTAGTTAGTAGATACTGGGAGTAAATAGAATGAAGGTGTTCTAAGGTTCTTGTCTTGCCAGGGAAGAAAGTAAATGTATTGATTAATAACAGGCTTTGAAAAGTTAAGGATGCATGAGATAAATGTTATGGTAATTATTTTAAAAATAGAAACAATGTAGTACTTCAAAAACTATAAGAGAGGGAAAAAAAAAGAAAAGCAGGCAAGAAAAGAGAGGAAACCCAACACAGAACAGGTGTTATAAATAACACAAAGTAAGATGGTCGATTTAAACCCAAATATATCATCAGGGCTGGTGTTATTCTGCATTGCTTTTACAGCTGTACTGGTTATTAAAATATTGAAATGTTCCTATACACACTGGTAAATAGCCACTGCCTTGAGCCCACTGAGTGCCTTCAGACACCCTCCTCCCACTAATGGGCATGGCCATGGGACTGCTCTTGTGTTTCCCTGTCCACCACACTCCCATGCCCTGGACCATATCCTTGTTCCTCCTCTGGCCAGAAGATGCCCAGACATTGCAGGGGTGGACTGCAGAAGCAGTGGAGGGGCCCCAGAGAGCAAATGCCTGGTTCCTCTTGTCCCTTCGAGGTTGTAAATGCCTGTGCATCCCCTGGAGTCGCCCTCTCATGGTCATTTGTGAGAACTGCAACCTCTACAAAGTGCCCATAAGAGTTGTTAAATGTTTCTACCACCAATGTATAGCAGTAATTACATTAAATGTAAATGGACTAAATGCTCTAATTTAAGAGCAAGGTTTTCAAGATGAATTTTGTTAAATCCACCTATATTCCATTCAAGATATTCATCTAAAACATAAGAATACAGAAAATTTGAATGTTAAAGAATGGGAAAATTTATGTACTGGGCAAAAGAAAGCTAATTGATACAGCTGCATCAATATCAAGGAAAAAAATAGACTTACAGGTGAAAAGCATTACTAGGTAAAAGGAAGTAATTTATTATGATAAAGAGTTCACCGAGAAGAAATAATTTTAGATTAATAAGCACTATATAAAAATACCTCAAGATAGACTTCAAAAATGGATAAAACTACAAGGAGGAATAAAGAAGTTTGCCATTATTGGAGATTTTGAGAGAAATTCTAGATATCTGCATTTATGTGCCTCTCACTGCAACCTCATTTTACACACAAGAACTATAAAGAACCTAAAATGTTATTATTTAAGAATCTGTATGTGCTATTATTTGGTATTATGTATACTTATGTCTCACTTCCTTATTTGGGATAGGGACTGGATCTCCCTGTTTTGTAACATGTAGAAACAAAAATATCTATCCCATTAGTCCTCAAATTTGGCTGCAGATTAGAATCACTTGGGAATTGTTTTAAACTCCTGTTTCCCAGTCATTATCCCAGACCGGTTACACTGGAAGCTCCAAGGGTATCAGTATTTTTCCCAAGGTGGGAAACATCCCCAGATTGTTCTCACGGT